ATGCGTGCTGTAGCATGCGAAACGTCAAGAAAATTTTAGATTGTTGTTCCAAACCATGCGTAGTTCATGTGTTATGTTTGTTGCCGCTGTTTGCATTTTGTTTCTTGTTAAATTGAAATGGCCAAAGAACAAGAGTGTTTATGATAGTACAAACTAGTTGCATTAAACAAATTAAATTGTTCTTGTTTGCCATATAATAAACATCTTATTAACCAAGCTTAGTCGGTCTGTATGGGAGAATCTTGACCTCGGTCGTGTGTACAGACCTCACTGCGTTCGGTCTGCACCCATGACCTGGGACAAGATTCCCCCATACAGACCTCCTGCTCGGTTAATAAGAGCTAAGAAATTTATCGAAAATCATTTTTTTCGGTTGAAGTGGTATTACTTTTATCTTTTTATTTTAATATGCATGCTGTTTAGTTTGTATTAAGTCTGTCAATATTAATCATTTACAATTTGTCATTTATACTGTCTGTTGCATAATCTTCAATTGAAGGCCAAACGTTTTAGGCCCCAGGCCTGGCAACAGAGGAAGAAAAAATTGCTGTATACTGACTCCCACTTAGTCGCATGGTTTGAAACTTGAACTATTTTGTTCAGTAAACTTTTAAAAGATAGCTCCGTGATTTTCTAAACGAACATAGGTTGTCTCTCCCCGAGAAAAATGATCTTTTTTCGATATAAGACAACCTTTAAAATCCAGAAAAGCTGAGGTGAAGGGGCATGAAAGCTTCACTGCCGTAGTTCATGTCCTCCAGCCCCTTCCTTCCCGGGGATCATGGACAAAAGTGAGGTGAAGTAGTCCACGTACGGTCCCAGATAAAACGAATGTTTTGGTCAATTTACGCTGTTGTGTTTTTAGAGGAATGACAAGGCAAGACCAAAGGTGTATTACGCACGTACAAAACCACTTTAAAGTTCGTTAAACCAAAAAATGTCATTCCTTCTTACTGAAAAAAGGAGCCATCTTAGCTTAGATCTTCGAAGGAATTCCAGAACTGAAGAGGATCTCATTCTTTGTCAGGTAAACATCGAAGAGTGTAGGGCGAGATCAACTTTGACACAGATTTATTTTTTAATGTTTATCTTAGCAGATTTTCTTTAGATATACAAACACGATTTAAAAAGTTTAACTGAAATATAAAATTAGACCATCTTGAAGGACTTCTTCAAGTTGAGAAGCAATTTTATTCAGTTCACTTTGTCACAAGTAAAGGACAAAAGTTATTATTATTATTATTATTAAAAGTTAGCTTAACACTGGTGATTTCCCGGCCACAAGTTTCTTTTCCTGGCATGAAATAAGCCCCACGTGATGTAAAACATGAGGATCTCTTTCTCGAATTACTCTTGATCTTGTGGTGTCAAAACGTATTTTTCAACATCATTAGATACAATTATCGACCGATACTGGCTCGTCATCACTTTTAATAAACAAAAAAAATGCGGCTGTGTAGGATTTTTTATATCTCTGAAGTCCTACATTTTGTGGATTCTTTACCAAACAGGGTTACAGACTATCAATGGACGTAGCAACCAACTTATCCTCCCCTTCCCCCAAACAGAAAATAATCCTAGCAGTTATCCAACCGAATCCCTCTGAATCTTGCAAGCACACACAAACAAACTTGGGAATTATAAGCAGCAAAACACCGCTCCAGTCTTCCCGCAAATTTACTGTTTGGCGAAGCTTTTTGAAATTCAAAACAAGTTCACTCGTTGCTATTCATATTTCATCTTGACCTTCGCATGCGGTAACTACCAGGTGAAGGGAAACGGTAAACTTGTGTTGATTCTTCGTTAATAATCTTCAAGAAAGTAGTTCCCGTGTGGACATTGTCTGTTTTGAACGACGACAAGGAGGTCTTCGCTTTACCGTGCATTGAAAGGGCGGTGAACAAGTGGTTAATGTACTTTTTTAGCAGAGGAGATGAAGACTTTCAAGCACACCGTCCACAGTGCCGAGGTAATCCACCATAGTTTCCTTAAATTTAGTCTTCTCTGTGCGTGTTTTTTAAAGAAGTTAATTTCTTAACTTTTAAATACTCGCACCTTGTGATAGAATCCAAAACGGTTTGCTCCACTACATCGAAAGCGTAGATTATATTTGCCTACTTAAACGTTGTTTACCTGGAATAACATGGTTTAAAATTGTCTAAACCCTTGAATGCCAATTACGCATATACGCGTAATTAATGGTCGTGCTCTTTGTAACACTTGTGGCGTCATAAATTTAAATGTCATCAGATATTCTCTATAAGCAGATAATAGTACTAGGCTAAGCCTTTCCCTACAATGGTCAGGTTTAGATATCGACGACATTCCGACGTCGCAAATCGAAAAACAACGTTATCAGTTTTGGTGCAAAAACGGTGGTAAAATGCTCCATTATACCTATGATTGATCAAGGTCCATTTCTAGGCTTCGCCCATGATTAACATCCAGCTTTTCCCGGCAGCCACAAAGAACATGCAACGCAAAAGGTAGCCAGAGTAAAAGGGCCGAGAAAAAAGAAAGGGACGGGGCAACAAACAAAATTGAGAACAGTTAATGGCAAAAAAAAAGCAAAACAAAAACAAAAACGAAAACAAAAAACAGAATTTTGGCTTATGCGCATGCCCAGAATTGAAATATTGCTCAATTTTGTACGTAATCCTCGAAAAATCTCTCCTTTTGGTGAGAAAAGCTTTCTTAGCAAAACTTAGGCTTATTTAGCGTCATGGCAGCCAAAAAACCTGACTCAACGTTTAAAAACGGTATTTTTTTGGCCAAAATTTGGTATTCAAAGGGTTAAAGCAAGATGTATATTATTCCGTCCTTTTTGACAACCCTGATTTAATCGAATGTTTTTGTCGGAATGTTTTTTTACTTTTTGTTCTCTTAATAAAAAGGAAAAAATTGTCCTATACGAGATTTTTTACTGAAATGTCTTTAAATTAACGTGATTATTTTCCGCTTGAAGCTATTGAAGGTTCTGTTTCTGAGATCGGGTCTGCAGCCCGTTTCTCGAAAGCCCCGGAAACATTTCGGGCCCGTAAAACTATTTTTAGCTCATCTGTATCTAAAAACGGAGAAGTGTAGACGCCTAAAACTTCTTCTTTGAAAGGCGCCTCTGTTCGTATCAAGAATATATGAATAAAACAGTTCTGTAATAGTAAGATTCGAGATTTCGCAATGGCATTCTGGGTCCCTGGACTGTTACGCACTGAAAACATATTGCTCACTCCTCTCTATATCTTTTTTCAAAGTTTCCGCACAAAATCTTCGTCATCATTTTACGTGACATCATTGGCTTAGAAAATTTCCTATTGTGTTTTGGCCAATCATCATCCAGAATTACGATATGTAATTTGCACTGGTGTTACACTTGAACTGCATTGCTCTCAGCCAATCAGAATCGAGTAATTTTTTCACGTATATATTACTACTTGTGTAATATAATAACGAGGAACGAAAGTTTCCAGTGGCGGATCCAGACCTTGAACTAAGGAGGTGGAGTGGGAGGGCTTTTGTTTTGCTTGCCNCCCTAGATCCGCCACTGGTTTCAATCGTAATTCCCCATTTTCGTACAAGGTAACCATTGAAATGTTGCAAATGCCACATTTTGCTGCGATGCACCGAATTTTGGCGGATATTTTGCCGCCGTATTTACATTAACAATTACTCTGATTGGATATTACCTCCACTATGTAAATAGTTCACCCCTGAACTGAAAACAATATCGTTTCGTTTCTGACGAAACGAAACAAACAAACAAAAAAAAGATATTTGAAAACATATTTAAAACTGAAAGAATGAAAGAAATGCCAACTGGCCGTGAATGCTGAGTGTTGCTCTAAGACCTGCCCAGCACATCTTTCGTTCGTATGTGCCCTCGTCACCCTGCGATTAAACGCCTTTTGATATATGAGCTTATTTAGTGAGTAGGAGAGCCGTGAAGGGAAAATATTTAATGGTATGTCATAACGTATGTTTGTGCGTTTTAATTATTTTGAAAAACACGTCAGTCCAAGGAAGACTTGAAAAACATTGAACTAGCCAAGCAGATCGTTTTACTATCAAAGACTCCTTTTACAAACCCATTGACTCGATTGAACACGGACTAAGTTCTTGTGATAAGAGGATGTGCATCAGATATATTTGTTTTTAATAGCACCGTTGCCTCCTAAATTACTATTCAATTTTCGTGCTCCAAGCAGATATTAGTATGCGTTATTATTCCTGAAGAGCGACACTTCAAAATGTGATGCTCTTATCGAGAATCAGTAGTTCATCCGTTTTGACAATGAAAGGCGGTCTTCATACGTAATTCACCTGAAGCGAAACTTTAAATGGCAATTTTGAATTCGGGAAGCTCAGTAGTAATTCATCACAGTTCCCCTCGCAGCTGCGGAAATTAGGCACCCTTTTAGAAACAGTTATGGTTTTTTGAATAATATTTAATATCGAAAAAATATCCTCTTTCTTTCTAGGGTTATAAAAAAGAAAGGAGAACTATTCTTTTCTCCTAAACCACCTTAGTTATTTTACAGAACAGGTCTTCTTCAATTTGTTCATCCCTGTCAGTTTCAGTTATTGACTATGTTTATGTTCCAAAACTGAATTACCTTGAGAAAATACAATGGCGAACACCTGCCTCAATAAACAGATCACAATTCTGTAGAAACAGTTGCCTGAGTGTCAGTTACTCATCTGAACCCTACGCTTCTTGTCTTATTTAAACGTAAATCAATTTATGAATGGTCATTGAACGGTTTTGGAAATAAGAGCAATCCGAGCTCAAACAGTTAGTCCTAGAATTATGTCGCAGCTATTCTGTTATGTCGTAAGAGCACTCCGGCGACTGCACACTTCCGCAGTGCACGAGGCTATCAAATTATTTCCTTGATCACTGAAAATCTCGTTCGTTCTACACCGAGGTACAAGATCTCTCTCGGATCTCTGCGCTTCCTGCCTGCGTTTAAAGAGAAAGAAACATCGCTTTAGTGTGAACTGAGATCCCGACTAGTTAACCCGCTCATGACAAGAATAGATTGTTCACGTAATTTTAAAACAACTCGAATTGACATTAATTATATTTATTATGCAAGTCTGCAAAACAAAATTCTAATTTCCATTTAACAATGAAGTTGTTATTGTTATAAATGCAACAAGCAATACAGATATTCTCTACTCTTAATTCAATATAGTATCGAAACACCTTTGACGAAATCGTTTAGACCGTTTTCCTTTAGCGATACATCGTTTTCATCTTTTCCTGGAAAGATAAGAGATGATAGACAACTGGCGACAAGAGCTAACACGATGAACAGCAAAACACCTGTCTGATTGTGTCCCTTACTGCTTGTCTTACTTCTTCTATCTTCCAGCAGTAAAAAATCGGGTTTACTGATGAGTTTAAGAAAACTAAAGTGACTGTATATTCTCTAGCGAGAAACACGGATGAAAATAGTTCATTATTAGTCGACAAAGCCGCCACTATACCACGAGGCAAATAACAAGCGACCATTGTCAATTGTAACCATATTGCACTGGACACTGCCTTTTTGTATCGCGCTATGTTCAGTGGACTTGTTTGGTTCGGTTGTTGAGTTTGGTCTTGCACGTGAGTTTGATGACGACGAAGGGTTAGGAAAATCTTCGTGTAAGCGAAGATTGAGGTTGCTAAACAAAGTGATATAACTATCACGATTGACCACAAAATTATGAGGGAATTCCAAAAGTACGTTGTTGAAAAGGCGGCGGACACGAGTCCACAAGTAATAACGGTCGTGTACGTTCGCTTTAAAGTTACAACTTGTCTGTATCTCAGTCCCAACAACAGGGCGAGAAGTCTGTCCACGCTTATTGTAGTCAGTATCGCCAGAGACAACCCAGACAAAGTAATACCTGAGATAAAAACGGCTGCTGATACATAACGACAAATATTCCAACGTTCATTTACTACAGTCAACAGCTCAGTGACATAGAGAGGTTCTGAAATAAGTCCAACACAAAGATCAGTTGTTGCCAGGCAGCAAAGCAAGAGTTTGGACGGCGGATAAAGTGAAGACTCCTTGCGAAGAGCGACTAGAATCATAGCATTTTCAAGAAATGCTGTAATAGACAAAACAGAGTTTAAAACTGAAAGAAATATCAACTGGCCGTGAAATCCAGGTGCGGTAGTAGCTCGGCAGAACAGTTGTTCCACTGCTTGCTGCTTCTCTTCTTGAGAAACGTTTGCTGTTGCCGACGCCATCACTCTGCGGTTTTCTCGCTCTGCAGTAATAAACAATCTAAGCGTCTTTTGCATTATGAGCTTATCGAGTAAGTGGGAGGGGGCGTGCGGAAAAAAAAAATATTTGACGTGAGGTCATGACGTACGAGCATCCTTTTAAATTACTTCCTTAAATATGTCAGTCTAAGGAAGGTTTGAAAAAAAAAACATTATACTAGAGGAACAGATGGTTTTACAGACAAAAATAGAAGATTCCATGAAGTAGTATCATCATCATCATCATCGTCGTCGTCGTCGTCATCGTCATCATCTATAATTCCCATTGCTGCTGTTGTCGTCATCATTAAAAAAATTATTTAGAACAAAGAAATCTTCCTTTATCGCGAGATTGATTTGTTTCATAACTTCTGTAAATTACTGGTTTCCACTAAGCGGTCAAATTAATTCATTCCGTAACACAAAGTAAACTGTCAGTTTTTCTGAAATCGTGGAAAATGTGCATTTTGTAACTCTCTTGAAAGCTCTTTAAATAGAAACGTGACTTAACTTGACAGGTCGGTTCTCCAT